AGGAAAATACAGGGAAAAGATTAAAATAACATTTCAGGAAGAAGAAATCTTAAAGACCTTGAACATAAATAGAAAAATCAATAGGAAAAACAGTTACAACAGAAAGATATATGACCTTCAGATCTAGTAAACAAGTTCTAGATAGTACCTATTAAAAATACTGACAAAGGAAAATTATCCAACATTTGATGAGAGAACCCTGTGGAATTTGAGGAGAACATGGAACCACAACATGATATTCCTGAGTGGTTCAAAGAAAAATGAGAATTATGAGTGCAGAATTTATGTCCTTCACAGAAAAAATAATGAACAGAATAGAAAAAGTTGAAATCTGTAATAATAAGCCTCAACAAAGAAACAAAAGAGAGAACAATAGATTGGGAATGCAAATACACAGAAGTAAAGGACAACTCAGAAGACGAGAAGCAAAAACCAAGAATATTAAAAGAAAATACGTTCACAATACAAAACAAAAAACATTAATCTCAAAGACAAACTAAGGATCCTAGATCTCCCAGCAGAACATGACAGGTCAGAAAACTTTAATACTTTAATGAAAAAAACAATAGAAGAAAATTGCCCGAACTCCCAAACACAGAAAATAAAATTCCAGGGGCAGTAAGGTGGTACAGTGGATAGAGCTCCGGCCTTGGAGTCAGGAGGACCTGAGTTCAAATCCAGTCTCAGACACTTCACACTTACTAGCTGTGTGACCCTGGGCAAGTCACTTAACCCCGACTGCATCACCAAAAAGCCAAAAAAAGAAAAGAAAAGAAAAGAAAATCACAATAAAATTCACAAATCACCTCCAGAAAAAAAACCCAAGGTGGCAAACTCTGAGATGCAAAATTTAGCAACCCAAGTCAGAAACATCAAGTTCTACATGAAATCAGGAGAAAGAACTCTAAATACAAGAAAAAAGACATCCAAATAATGTAAGACTACTGCACGTGAAAAAGGAGGGAATGGAATAACATGTTCTCAGGAGCAATGGAACTCACAATGCAGCCCAGTGACCTATCCTGAAAATCTGAGCTTAAACTTCAGGATAAAGTTAGACATCCAATAATAAAGAAGAGTTTGAAACATTTTTAGGAAGAAAATAAGAAGTATAGAAACTACTTGCCTCTCAAACACTCTAAACAATAGAAATGCAGGAGTGAATAAATACAACAGGCAAGAAAAGTGAACAGTGACAGAGTAACAACAAAGACCAGTAAGAGTCTTCTTTCTTTTTTTTGGTTAGGCAATGGGGTTAAGTGACTTGCCCAGGGTCACACAGCTAGTAAATGTTATGTATCTGAGGCTAGATTTGAACTCAGGTCCCCCTGAATCCAGGGCCGGTGCTCTAACCACTGTGCCACCTAGCTGCCCCAAGAGTCTTCTTTCTAAATGTGCATGGGGAAACCAGGATGAAGGTGGAAATCTGGTAGACGTAATAGTAAAGAGGCAGCCAGAGACCATTAAGGACAGAACTTACACATACCCCAACTGCAGAGAAATGCTTCTTTTGTGGGACTACATTATACCTTGGGAAGGTGCATAAAAGGTAGAGAGGGGAGTAGGGGCATAGAGAGGAATGAATGATGTTCCAGGGTCAAATCAAAGGCTAACAATGAGGGGAAGATAACCTCATGGTCTCAGAAAGAGAATAATCTATAGGGCAGTGAGTGAAGAAGAGAAAGGAAAGATTGAAAAAGGTGAGGGAGGGGAGGAAGAAGACCTTATTTTGGAGGTGGGAGGGAGGGAGTTCCACTCCTATGAGTGAAGAGAGATGGTTGGTGAAGGTAGACGAGGACCTCAGATTGCATGAGGCCTGGGGGGTTGGTGCTTGAAAAGTCTATTTGTCCCAGAAAGGAGGTAATTGGAACCTTTGACACCTGGAAGAGTGGGAGAACACGGACACAAGGAGATTTCTAAGCAAACGTAGGACAAAATGTTAACAAGACAGCATATATAGATCAATGGTAGGAGAATGAGCTCTTCCTCTCTGACACCTGCAATAACTGGTACTATTCTAGAAATGGGGAAAAATAGAAAAGGGGAATCCTGGGGCAAGCTCTCCAAGACTGGTAGAAAAAGTCCAGAGGAAAGAGCCTAGAATGGATAATTTGGAAATTGTGATCACATGAAGAACAGAAGAAAAAGAGTGAGACCAGATAATTATAGGAATCATGAATTATAGAATGAGGTGCTAGAGTAAACAGAAATAGAAGATGGATGATGAAGAGAGTGAGAGAAATCCTTCCTGGGAAGGGGTGCAAAAATGTAAAATTTTAAAATTAAATAACAAGAATGACTGAAGAGGAAGAGATGAAGAGGGTGGATATCAAATAAGAAGGAATCAGTGGTATGGGGAAGAGAGCCACTGCGAAGAGGGCCATTAAAAAAAAACATAACTGAAGGAACTAAAAATACTGTCTTTACATCAGAAAAGGGGACTTAAAACCAATAAGTTTCTGTACAGACTACACTATTGCATCTAGAATTAGAAGGGAAATGGCTAGATGGGGGGAAAAATCTTTGTATCAAATTTCTCTGATAAGGATTTGGTAGCCAAGATATATAATGAATAAAGAAAAAGGCAAATAAATATGACTAATAGCTCTTCCCCAACAGATAAACACTCAAAGGATATGAATAAATAATTCTCAAAAGAACTGCAAAGTATTCATAATTATACGAACAAAATGCTCCAAATCCTTAATAACAAAAGAAATGCTCATCACAACAACCCTGAGGTTTCACCTCATACCTTGCAAATTAACAAAAATAAAAAAAATATCAATAGTCAATGGTGGAGGGGTTGTGAAAAAATAGGCACGTCAATACATTGTTGGTGGAGCTGTGAAATGGTATAACCACTTTGTAAGGCATTTTAGAATTAAGCAAATAAAATGACTAAAAGGTCCATACTCTTTGAACCAGGGAATCCATTATTGAGCTTATAGCCCAAGGAAGCCATTGATAAGGAAAAAACTTCCATATACTCCAAAATACTGATAGCACCTTTTGTGCTAGCTAAAAATTGGAAACAAAGTAGATGTCCATCAATTGGGGAAGGGCTAAACAAACTGTAATACATGAATTAATGGAATATTACTGTGCTGTAAGAAATAATAAGTGTGATGAAAACATAGAAGCATGGGAAGATCTACATGAACTGATGCAGAGTGAAGTAAACAGAACTAAGAAAACAGCATATACAGTAACATTATAAATAGAACAAAACCATACCAAAAAATAAAAAATGAATATGACAAAATTATAAAGATCAAGTAGAACTCAAATGAAGAGATATGAGAAGATACTTCCAAACTAACCCTTCATGGAGGTGGGGGATCCACAGGTGGATTGCTTATGTTTTGGGGTTTTTTCAATTTTATTGACCAATTGAGTGATTTTTTTCTTTCTCCAAAATACTATTTTTCATGTGGGATGGCTCTCTGGAAGAGGGAGGGATACATAGGATATTATGGTGATGTAAGGAACAGAAAATATCAACAAAAACTTATCCAAAAAAAGAATTAATTGGGGAATCACTGTTCTGCTACAGTTATGCTTGGTGCTTTTTTTCATGTGACATTGTAATATAGGCTCCAAAAATGGTACATATACATACTTAATTTCCATAAATACCCCAAGACAATTAGACAGGATTCTGTTAAATGTAAAAGATGACAAAAAGAATATTAGAATTACTGTAAGTCAGGTGTACTTCTAGAATGAAAATCCTTATGGTCAAGGAAGAAAACAGTACCATCATTGCTTCTGAGGTAAAAATGAATGGTATAGACTTTGCTTGAGACTCAGTTTAATTTCTACTACATAATTAAGTCAGAGAAAAATTACAGATCAAAAACAACTTTGGATGTTTCTTTTAAGATTACTACTCTGAAAACTATTTATGAGTATAATTTAAAGTAGTGTTAGTCCAAATGAATAATTCTGGTAAAATTATTTAGATTCTTAAGATAGTAGAAAACTGATTAATGAAAACATGTGTTAAAGCAAAGAGCCGCCTTATACAATCTGTCAGCGAAGTGAGAAAAAGAATTTCCATGTAACCTGTGTGACAAAAATTCCATCTCAATCTTATAAAAAAGAATCTCCCTATCTACATCTCTCTGCCTCTTCCTCACCCTCTTTCTTTTTCTTAGTTTCTGTCTCTGTGGGAAAAGTATCTTTGAAAAAAATACTTAGGTAATAGTGTACAGGGATAAAACATCACAAATTTAATAAGGATAAATTACATTAACATCTCATTTTTTCCCCAGCAAAATCATCTACCAAGAACATACCTGAAAGCCAGGAAATAATCATAAAGTATATCACTAACATAGCTGTCACGACGTCTTTTTCACCACATTTGAGTAACAGCCCTCACATACCATTTACTCTTATTTTTTACATAATTCTAATTAATGTGTGGCCTGGTTTCCTAGCCTATAACAGATCAAAAGTATCAAATCATTAAGAAGAAAGAGGATCTATACTTTTATGGAACATAAAGAGGGAGGAACACTTACAGCAGCAAGAAGTGAACAATAAAAAAAAAGAAGTGAACAATAACAAGAAAGAAACTGAAAAACGATTTAAAAAAAATATGGCAGTTTAAGGCTGAGCATGGGAGAAAACAATGACCCCTGTAGAGAGTACAATACAGCATGGTTAAATAATTGATATTCACAATGAAAACACTGAGTTGTGAAGAAAAGTTTATATCATGATCCACATATTCTGTTTATGATAAGAAACATACATTTGATTTTAAAAAGATTTACATTCAAGCTTTTAAAAATTTTGTGCTTAAAGGAGAATATTTCAATTATTTGGAATTTGAATCATGAAGAATAACTTATCTGACAATTTTGGATAAGTGAGATTAGTGTATGGGCTTTTTTATAGGATTGAAATTCAATGCATATGTATTTTATAAGATATTTTATTAAAATACTAGGAGGAAAAAGAGTGATATTATCTTAAAAGAATAACAATACCTGATGAAATGATGAATCATAATCCCTGTAGGAACTAGATCCTTTTTTATGGGACCTTTCTGTATGCTCAACATCTGAATCAAGGCTGTAGTCTGAACTGTCATCACTAGAGGGAGAATTATGCTGGAAAAAAGGTAAAAACCAAATATGTTATAAAGTATACATTTATTGTCCAAAGAAGAAGCAAACACTTAGTGTTCTAACAATGAAGGAACTGGCCCCAACCTATATCCCTTGCAGTTTTTCAGGATTCCCAGGAAGGAAAAGTATAATCTCTTCTTTTTGTTTAAGAGCTTTACAAAGTAAGTACCTTTCTTCTTCACATCCCTATCCTTTGCATCCTCCTAAGTAATCAAGGTTTTGGAAAAAAGGAAAAGTAACTCTTTATAAAAAACAAAACAAAACAAAACAAAAACCAGAATGGTGACCTCATGATTTAGATAGGATATTTATAACCTAAGGATGCTATTGTCTGCCTTTGCTGTTGAGTAAGAACCTAAATTCTGACAAATATCTAAAAAATGAAATAACTAAGTAAATAGAAAAAGTCCTGGGTAAATCCTCCTATTTGACAAGTTACAACTGACAAAAGAAATACTAATTGGGATAAATATAAAACTGACTTTAATAGTGAGATTTCATTAACATTAGCAAAATTTTACAATATACTCTATTACAGGACATCCTTATTTTCTGTTATCACCCATCAATATAGAATACAATTCATCTTGTATGCCTCTTGCCTAGAGTCTCTCAAAGATTCTCATACTACTCCTTTCTTGCTGAAGAGTAATATTCAACAACATTCTTATACCACAGTTTCTTTTTTTTAGCTACTCCCCAATTGATGGGTACCAACCTCGTTTAAATTTTTTGGAACCACCAAAAGAGCTTGTATGCTTACATCAATAAATAATAGGTCTTTCTTTCTGAAGTCTTTGACTTATTCCTTTTTTTTTTTTTTGTTAAGCAACGGGGTTAAGACTTGCCCAGGATCACACAGCTAGTAAGTGTTATGTGTCTGAGGCTGGATTTGAACTCATGTCCTCCTGAATCCAGGGCCAGTGCTCTGTCCATTGTGCCACTAGGTGCCCCTGTCTTTGACTTCTTTGATGCAAAAGTCTAGTAGTGGAAGAGCTGAGTCAAAGGATATAGATAATTAGTCAGTTTTCCTATGTAATTCCAAACTGATATCCAGAAAGCCTAGACCAATGTATAGCTCCATGATCAATCAACAAGCATTTATTAAGCGCCTAATAAATGCCAGGCACTGTGCTAAGTGCTAAAGGCACAAAAATAAAAGTGAACATTCCCTGCTCTCAAGAAGCTTACATTCTACACAGGCAGACAGCACAGGCCTGTACATACCTGTGTGTATGTTTATACAAAACAGATGCTATTTTGTTTTGAGGGAAATCAGGTAATGGTTCTCAAAGAAGAAACTATTTGAGGTGGGTCTTGAAGAAATTAAGGTGTCTAAGATACAGAGGTGAGGAGGGCCTTGCAGGTCAAAGGCATGAAGACAGAAGATAGAGTGTGTTGGGTATCAGGAACAGTAAGAAGGCCAGTTTGACAGGACCATCAAGTGTATAAGTAGGTTTGTAACAAATAATAAGACTGGAAAGGTAGGATGAAGTCAAGCTGTGAAGAAATTTAAATGCCAGACAGAGGATTTTATATTTGTTCCTACAGGCAACAGGAAGCCACTAGAGTTTAATGAGTCAGAAGCCTGACATGGTCAAATCTGGATTTTAGAAAAATCACTTTGGCAGCTATATGGAGAGTGAGAATGGAACGGGGAGAGACTTGAAGCACAGCAGTCAAACAGAGGGTTACAGCAATAGTCCAAATAAGAGGTGATGAGCGCCGAATTAGGATAATAGCTGTGTGTTTGGACAATGTTAGGGAGATATTTAAGTAGAAAAAATAAGACTTGGCAAACGATTAGTTATATAGGGTTAAGTGAGGAACTGAGGATGACCTCAAGTTTTTAAGACTCAGTGACTGGAGGGAAGGATAGTGTTGCCCTCACCAGTAATAGGAAATTGGGAGGACAGGTGAGTTGCGGAAATAATGAATTCTGTTTTGGATATTCTTAGTTTGAGATGCCTACAGAACAAGTTTGAAATGTCCAATAGTTACTTTGTGTTCAGTACTTATGCTAAGAAAAGCAAATAGATATAAAGATCTAGGAGTCATCCACAGAGAGATGACAATTAAACTTATGGGAACCAATGAGAGTGTAGAAAGAAAAAAGAAGAGGGCCAAGAACAAAGTAAGTTAACAGGCTGGAGTATGGATGATGATCTAGCAAAGAGGATTTAGAAGTAGCAGTCAGGTGGGAGGAGAAACAAGAGACAGCAGTGTCAGGAAAATCCTGAGAATACAAGGGGTCAACAGTATCAAATACCACAGAAATTTCAAGAAGGATGAAGACTGGGAAAAGACCATTGTATCTGAAAACTAAGAAATAAACTGTTACCTTTAGAGAAAGCAATTTCAATTAACTGATAAGGTCAGAATCCAGAATGCAAAAGGTACAGAAGTGAATGAAAGGAAGTGAGGTACTTAGTGTAGCAGCTATTTCTAGAAGTTTGGTTGAAAAGGAGAAGAGAGACACAGGATAATAGGTCGAGGAGTTAATAAGAACTAGTGAATGTTTTGATTTGGGCATGTCTGAAGACAGCAGGGATGGAACCAATAAATAGGGAAGGATTATAAATGTGGAGGGAAAAATCTGTACTATCTACTGGAGATGATGAAATCAAGGGCCAACAATGGTCTTCGTGATGAAGGGCTGGCCATGGTGAGAAAGTCCACCTCTTTATCAGAGACTGGAGTAAAGGAGGGAAAAAATGAGGGATTATGCCAAGGAATAGTTAAGTAAAGAAGAGGGAAGAGAGAGTTTGCTACAAATGTCCTCTTTTTCTCCATAAATTATGAGAGGAGGTCCTCAATTTAGAGTGCAGAGGGGTAACAAGTAGTATGAAAGACTTGAGAGAAGAGAAAATCTGGAATAGCCTCTGTGGGGCCTGGAATTCAGAATCAAGTAGGAGGACCTAAAAGGATTACTCTGCTGTAGTGAGAGTCTGGTTGGAGTTAGAAAACAATTTGTAGTGGACCACAGAATTACAAAATTTAAGAGTTGGAAGGGACCTTCTAGTTGCAACTGGCCTTCTAGTCCTGATCATACCCAAAGGGATCCTATATATAATATACCCAACAAGTGGTCACCCATCCTTTGCTTGAAAACTTCCATGGAAGGAGAATCCATCACTTCTTGAAGCACACTATTCCACTTTTGGATGGCTCTAATTGTTAGGAATTTTTTTCTAACAATGAGCCTAAATTTTCCTCTTTGTAACTTGTATCTATTCCACCTGGTTGCGTTCTTTGGAGCCAAACAGACCAAGTCTAATACCTCTTACACATAACAATCCTTCAAAAACTTATACATAGCTATCATGTCCCCTGAGTCTTCTTTTTTTCCAGGCTAACCATCCCCAATTCTTTTAATCAAACTTTAAATAACATACTCAAGGCCTTTCACCATACTGCTTGCCCTTCTCTGGACAATTACTTCCAGCTTATCTATGTCCTTCTTAAACTGTGGTTCCCAGAACTAAACACAACACGCTAGATGTGGTCGGACAAGTGCATAGTTGAGAGGGACTATTACCTCTTTATCCTCAAAGCTATGTTTCTCTTAATGTAGCCCAAGATGACATGAGTTTTTTTGGCTGCCACATTACACTGTTGATTTATATTGAGTTTGCAGCTCACCAAAACCACTAGATCTTTTTCAAACTGCTGTTCAGTCCTACTTACTCTTTCTTACCCTAGACCCTGGAAGCAAAATGGTATATTGTGTAGAGCACTGGGCTTGGAGACAGGATGACCCAAGTTCAAATCTAGCCTCACATGCTTACTAGTCACTTAACCTCTGTTTGATTCAGTTTCCTCATCTGTAAAATGGGGATAATAACAGCACCTACCTCCCAGTGTGGTTGTGAGAATCAAATGAGGTTGCTATTTGCTGTTGTTCAGTCATTTTTCAGTTGTGTCCAACTATTCGTGACCCCATTTTGGGTTTTCTTGGCTAAGATACTAGAGTGGTTTGCCATTTCCTTCACCAGCTTACTTTACAGATGAGGAAACTGAGGCAAACAGAGCTAGGTGACTTGCTAATAGTCATACAACTAAAAGTGTCTGATGCCAGATATGAATGCATGAAGATGAGTCTTTCTGACTCCAGGCCTGGGACAGTAAGCACTATATAAATATTAGTTGCTGTTGTTATTGCTATCATCATCATCATCATCATCTTGTACTATGAGGTTATCTAGGTAGTTCAGTGGATAGAGCACTGGAACAGAATCAGGACTACTCGAGTTTCAATCTGGCCTCAGGCACTTTTAGTTGTGTGACCCTGGGCAAGTTGATTAACATTTACAATTATTAAAAAGTTAACTTCTAACCTTGTGTTTCTCACGTCTTCTCCTTTTTGATTTTTTCTTTTCTTTTTCTTTCTTGCGTTTCTTTCTTGATTTTCTGTGGGCTCTCTCACTTTTCTGTTTGTCATTTCCTTTTGTTTCTGGTTGCTCTTGTGTTTCCTCAAATCCAGCATCATCTATTTCGCCATCTTCTAATTCACCATCTTCTCTATAGGAGAATAGGCAAAAAATGAATGTTTAAATGTCAATTCAGAAACTAAACACATTAGACATATTTTCTTTATCTTTTCTGGAGGGTGTGGGAATGGTCCAGACCTGTAATCTCATTAGCATAATGCCCTCTTAGAGAAGAACCTCATCTACCAAGGTATATCAGTCCTTGCTCTGCAGTTGTATGTAGTTCATAATCTTAGAAGTTGCCTGGGGCACTGAGAAGCTGAGTGACTCCCTGGATCACAGAGCCAGTATGTGTCAGAGGTGCAACTTGAACCCAGGTCTCCTTGACTCCAAGGCTGGTTCTCTATCCACTAGGACAGGCTGCATCTCCAGATATGTTTTTTGTAGAAAGCCTGTACTAAAATTTTAAATTGTATTTCTCATTCTCCCACACATTTTAAAAACAAAGTTATTTCAAAGATATGCAGTTATAAAATGCTAAACTACTTCAAAAAATGGAACCATAGTAGATGAATATCTTAAAGAACCAGTCATAAATACGAAATAACTTCAAACCTCGTCATATTAAAATGAAGGTAGATTAAATGAATTGTTTAAAGTGAAAAACAATATATTAGTATAGTCTATTTTAATAATTAAATTTAAATGCATAAAAACATTAACACTCAGACTATAAAAGATACTAATTAATTTTTAAAGTTGAGCTCTGTCAAGAATATTAAAACTAAAATTGTAATTCTAGTAATTTCATGTTTCTAAGTGTTTTAGTTCATTACTTTTAGTTTTTCAATGCAAATTATGATTTTTAAAATCAATATTTGCATCTAAATAGATGGGGCAAAATATTAGCAGTAAGAACATTTAAAATCTAAGTAAGCAAATGGGATACAGAAGAACAAGTTGGCATAACAACAAAATATTGGTAGCAAAACAAAATTGTATTATGTAAAAATGGAAATGTTACTTTTGCTATACGTAGGCCAAAATATCTAGAGTGTGTGTGTGTGTGTGTGTGTGTGTGTGTGTGTGTATTTATAGTGTGAGAAAGAGCTCAACAGAGGCTATACATTTAATATAACTTGAAATTACAACTACTGCAAAATGCTTGCACCTCTAACTTTATGAAATAGGTTTATTTCAAAGTTGGGGGCAAAATAAATTATATTTTTCTCACTGATTTCTATGATACAATTAAATAATTTAAATTAATAATTTAATTTAATAATTTAAAAATAAAATTTTATTTCACAAAAACAAATTCCCAAATGGACTGACTTGAACGCATCTGAAAAGAACAGTGGCCGTGCCTTTTATGATTATAATGGATAATAATAATAATAATGATAGCTGACATTTAAATAGCATTTTAAGGTTTGCAAAATGCTTTCTATAACATTTATGTAACAAGATCTCACTTGTTTTTCATAATAACCCTATATGGTAGGTTCTATTATCAACCCCATTTAACACATGAGAAAACTAAGGCTGAGAGATTAAGTAGTAAGAATCTGAGGCAGTATTTAAGACCAGAGATTTCTAACTTCAAGTCTAGTAAGTACTCTCTCCACTACAGATAATGCTGAGGAGGAATTATTCAGTGTAAGAACACTAGGGTTGGGAATTTAAAAACTATGGTTCTGTCAACTAGGGAATGACTAAAAAAGTTATAGTGCACAAATGCAGTGGAATATTACTACACTGTAAGAAATAACAATTACAAGAAACCTGGTAAGACATATATAAATTGCTACAAAGTGAGGTAGACAAAACCAGGAAAACAATACAAAACAACCTAAACAGAATGCTGAGAAATTATAATGATCAAACTAGACTCCCAAAACAGACATGAGGTGGTACTTCCCTTACTTCTTTGCTGGGGGATCATGGGTCTGGAACATTGAAATGATGTCAGACTTTTTCAATGTACTGGTTAGTTTTGCTCAACTTCTCTCCCCTCTTTTTCACCCTTGTAAGGGAGGAAGTAGGAAGGAAATGATGGAAAATACAGGTGATGTAAAAACAAACTACACCAATAAAATTTTATTTTTAAAAAATGACAACTACCAGGGTTTGAGACCCAGCTGTATTACTTAATTACTAGCCATATGACCCTGGATAAGTCACTTAGTCTCTCTTGTTTCCCTATATGTAAAATGAAGGGAGTAGACTAGGTAGTCTCCAAAATACCTCAGAATTCTAATATTCTGTGATTGTTTTAGTGGTGACCTTCCTCTCCCTTTGAAAGCCTTAGCCTTACCTTTTAATCTTATTCAGATGCACCCTAAAAGAATCTGGCTCCCTTTTGTCTATAGGCCCCAGAAAAGCCTTCTCTGGTCTCAAACTGTTCCTTATTAAGTCCCCTTATCTCCTTTTGAAAGTCCTAGCCCCACCTTGATTTTGTGCAGATACCTTTCAAACTTCTGCCTTCCTGTTCCCTCCATTAGCTATTGCCATTGTCTATTCAATCTCTCAGACCTCCCCAATTAGAATTCTTACCTAGACCCTTTTCCCAACCCCCTTCTCTGGCCACCCAAAGTTACTTTAGTATTTAAGATCCACCTTGGCCCTCATTCAGATGCTGAGAATCTCAGGCCCACAAGGCTGAGAACCTCTCATGCCCGCTCCTCTTTACGGTGGTCACCTGGTCTATGTGATTTATCACTAATAAACTTTTCCTCTGGCTGAAGAAGATTTGAGTTGAATTCATTCAGCAGGGCCCGGTACCGTGATCTTAGGGACTTTGCAGCACCCCAAAAGTCCTAGTCCTCTTCAGTATTACTTCTATTGACCTTTTAAATTTTGTAGAACTTTCTTATCTTGGGTCCTCTCAATTTCCAAATTATTGTTTTGGCCACAGAATTGGAATTTCTTTGCCGTTTAGGTGGCTGACTCACCAGTCTGAGAAACAAGTTATGCTTTCTTAGGGGAAAGGATTAAGTAAATTTAAGGCTACAATGTTGCATTTCACCAACAGATGCTGTCACCATTTTCCAGGCTGAAAATCTTGTATAATCTATCTGTATCCTACATTATAAATTCAGTAAATCCTCTCTGCTTTCTGGAAAATTTTTCTCTAAAAAATTATATTCATCTTCTCCTACCTTTTTACTTAGTCTATTTATTACCAATAACTTAATATGAAAATTGGTTTTGGATTCATACCTTCCAGCTTATTTTTTTTAGTGGAGCCGTATTAGGGAATATCTATATAATGGATATTAGACTCAGCATCAGGTTAAGTACTAGACTCAACTGTGTTACTAAAATGGAATAACTGGTTTTTTGTTTGTTTTGTTTTTGTTTTTGCTAGGCAATGGGGTTAAATGACCTGCCCAGGGTCACACAGCTAGTGAGTGTTATATGTCTGAGGCTGAATTTGAACTCAGGTCTTCCTGACTCCAGGGACGGTGCTCTATCCACTGAACAACCTAGCTGCCTCTGGAATAATTGTTTTTTAATATTGAGCACCTATCATGCTGCTTTCTTCAGTAAGACACTTAACCTTTGAAGGACTCAGCTTCCTTAGTTATAAAATGAAGAGATCAGACTAGAAGATATCTACATTTTCTTCGATTTGCTGCCTTCCTCATGGGAGAGAGGTGGCAGGCTAAAGTTACAGAATGAATTGTATATTGTCAGACATGGCCACTGTTGATTTGTTTTACTTAATAGTACTTCTTTGTTAGAAGGGAGTGTTCTCTGAGGGTGAGGGGAGTCAATGAAAGGCTATGGTAATATAAAGAACATCAATACAAATTTTTTTTTAAATCACAAAGTTTCCACTCTTTGGACAATATGATGCTTTCAATTTCTAGTCTACCTTGCTCTTGAATACATCTGACACATTTCATAACTACTATCATCACAAACAATAAACACTTAATTAAAGGCAGATAGTGATGTATGGCTATTGCTCAGGACAAAAGTTATGTATGGATATATACATCTGGGTATCATCTGCACAGATGATAACTGAACTCATGGGAACTCTTGAGATAATCAAATGAAGTTGTATAGGAGGAAAAAAATAAGGAAAACTCAGAATAGTTGGTGGGCATGACATGTATCAAGAAACAGCAAAGGAGATAGAAATCTTTTTTGATAGTATATATTCAGTCTCATGGCCCAACAAATTGAGACTCAGAGTTATAGATAAAATATAAATATTCACTTTAGAATTCTTTTGAAGAACATAGCAATAATCTGTGTTTTGTAATGCACACCCCAGTCTTGAATTGAATTAAAAATCTTGTCTTCTAGAAATTCAGTGAAATAGATAGCAAACATACACATAGGCATATATGCACATTACAAAGATCATTTTGCACCCTAGGAATTGTCATTAAAGATTATATTTTTTAACCATCAAAGAGGCAGTGTGATGGAGCAGATAGAAAGCCAGCCTCTAAGTCAGGAATTCCTGGGTTCAAGTCCCCATCTCTGATATATGCTGACTGTGTGGCCCATGGTCAGTGCCCCCACGCAACTCTCTTAGACTTATAAGATGCAGAGCAGGTCCCCATCTAGAATGGAGGAGGGAAACCCTCCCCAGGAGCTCCCTATGCCAAAGATAGCACAGCTCTGGTTTAAAAAAAAATCATCCTTTTTAAATTCACATTTTGAGTAAATTTTTGGAAGTATGAATAAATTTACAATATAGCCTAAGCTTCTTAGCCACTTCAACAACAAATCAAAACTGTACAGTTTTATTTTTGAGATATCTGTGTATTTGAAAAGCATTTTATAAGCAGCAAAGTACTATACTATATAAGTTGAATCTATTATTCTTCTTATTTGCTGCTTTATAATACTTTTATTTCAATCATTTTAGATGTCTCTCTGAAATTTTTCTTTTTAATCTCCATGATGCAGGGTCACTATTCTGAAGATTAATTATTATAATAGGTCACAATCTCTCTGAAACTGTTTCCTCATCCGAAAAAAAGTACTTCTGCTTGTCTTACAGAATTTATAGGATCATAGTTTTAGGGCTGGAAAGGGACCTTAAGAAGTCATCTTAAGAGGCCACTG